CTGTTTTACACATTCCTTTCTACCGTTTATATCCCTCAGGCGATACGCATAAGAAAACTTTTCTCTTCATGCCCAAATAGTTGTTCAGTTACGTTTTTACCTATTGTCTGTTATGCTATTGTTAAAGTTTGTCTCTTACGCGTTTCTACGTAAGTAACAATTGTTTATCAGAGTTATTTATCCTGATGGTGGATAAAATGGATTCACGTTACTTATCTTAGTTCTTTATATGTGCATCGCTTTTTTTTTTATACCCTATGTCACTTGTGCTATCATGGTATACTAATATAGTACGGATGTCTGCAGTACCCAGAAGAATTTTGATTAGACATCCAATGTTTTAGTATACTTGCAGAGTTGCATTCCATAGTTCGAACCGGACCACTTCTTCGACCACCTCCCATGTAATGCTTTTTTTAACAAAATTCTTTTATATAAATAAGTACATTCGGAAGAGTGTTGTAGGGCATTTAATGCTGGCCCCGACCCATTAAAAGATTTCTTGCTTTTTCACATTAGGCTGCTTAGGGTTTCAAGGTTTTGAAATTGATATCATTTTTTTTTTATTCTTGTGGCCCCGCTATCGAAGAACAGAACTACAAGTTGATATACTTCGGAAATGATATCTTCGACCAGACGGTCCCTAAATGGAAGTTTGGCTAAATTTAGTCCATTGATTTTCGGATTGCATTGCTTAATAACAACTCATGTTTTCGATTACGTACTTTTCTTTGACACTCAAAGGAAACACAATTTTTTTTCTCTTGAAAATTAAATTAATTGAGCTTAAGTTTATTTAACTGTGTTGTCCACTTTTCTAGATATGTCTATATGTACATCAATCGATCGTTCCAAGCAAATAACGCCGACTAGTGAAGTGCTCGAAGGGCCTATGCATAAATTATATTCAATTTAAAGACAGAGCTTTTAAACCTTTGGTAGATCCACTACGGAGCCGAAAGGTTATCGCATCATTTAAATTTTGGTGCAAAAAGTTACTAAAGTTAATATAAAAATTTCATTACAAATACACGATATAAAGATGATCGAGTCATTTGACGCATAAAAGTACAAAACAATTTTTAACGCTTGCATTTAAATGTAAGAGTTAGCAGATACCGAATATCCACTCCCTGCAAGCCACAGTTCGCATGTTATTGGGAAAAAAAATAAATAAAAAAATAAATAAATAAATTTTTTCTTTTTTCTTTTAAATTTTCACATTTACAAATGATGAACGGTACACGAAACACGCATAGAAGCTGTAATAAATAATTATAACCAAAGAGCGTCACTTACTTGTTGCTTTTTGTTGTGTTTTTTTTTTTTTTTTTTTTTTTTTTTCTTTCGTCTTTTAATTGTCTGCTTAAATATACACCGAAGACGTTATCAGTAATGCGTTTTGCAAACAAAATTATGTAATAATGTCATAAAGCATTTAATGACAGTTTGGCTGGGACGCCTGGTGAACAAATATTCAAAAAAGATATTTTTCAACTTGTTTTTTACTTTCCTTAATAAATCCAGATCTGATCTCTTTTTATTTTTATATAAAAAAAAATGTTTCGGTCGACCCTTTTGTCGACCCCAGCATTCATATAATAATTAATTAATTTGCGGATATGATTCGATTGAAGCGCAATTATAAATTTGTTTTTCTTATTTTATTTTAGTTCGTTTTATTTAATGTATATAAAATGATTTTATTTGAAAAATTGTTTTATTTTTCATTCACTTCTGTTCAAGTAGTAAAAGGACAAAAACTTGTTGCTTATTGTTGAAAAGTTGGAAAGAAAAAACACTAAGCGGTATTTAGCGGCATTAAAATATAAGTTTGTTTATATTTTCGTGTTTCTGGCTGTTTTTATTTATTTTATTTTTTTTCTTTTAAATTTTATTTTAATCTATCATATTTTAAGTGTTTATTTTTTATTTATTTTTTTTTTTCTTTCTTTAAATTATTTCTTTATGTTTTATGTTTTTGTTATTACATTTATATATGTCATCAAAATAAAATCTATAAACTGATATTATATAAAAAAATCGAGAATACACAGCGCAACACGTTGTTGACACAAAGACCGCCTAACAAAGACTAATATCACAAGCGTACACGCGACGTGCTTCATCAACATGCAACGCTCACTCAGCAAATACTATTTTACTGTATTTTCTGTTTGGCGTAGTAGTACACTCGCATATGCATGAGTGTATACGTCTGTGTGAACGCAAATTTTGTTATGTTATGCTTTTCGTTTTTCTTTCCGTAACTGGCGCTTGCTTTTAATAACGACGACGATGATAACCATCATTATAACAATGATGATGATGATGATGATGACGATAATTATGATGATGATGATGATGATAATGATGATGATGATAAAGCTGGCGAGGGCATTGATATACTAATGATGATGTTCTAAATTGAAATATCACATAACCCAGTGTGTTGACATATAAAAAAGCAAAACGAAAAAAAAAAAAAACAAAAAACAATTACAAAAAGAAAACAAACAACAAAACTCTCATACAGGCCATTTGACAAACTTCTATGACCCCAGAAAATATATAAAAATTTATGTATAAACGAAAAAGAGAAAGAGGCAAATCAAGTCATAGAAATTAACCAAGAGAGATAGAGAGAGAGGGAGAGAGAGAGAGAAAGAGAGAAAAAAAAGAGAGAGAGAGAAAGAGAGAGAAATTCATGTAATATAGGTAAACTTTTAAACAAACTTACAAGTTTAAAAAAGAAAAAATTAAAGAGCGAGTGATGATGGGGTGGATGAGAGGAAAAGAGAGAAAGTAAGATAGAGAGGAAGAGCATTTGTTTGCCAAATAACTGTTTCCGTTTCCCATGCGTTTTCAGCTTTTAAGGAAACTTAGTTATCGCTTTGGCTGCCATCAGAGTATAAGTCAACAAATCAGTTTCGTTAGCTGAGTCTGAGAGGTTCGCTTGTTTCATTTCACCGACATTCCTTCCACAAATATCTCTCTTTTTCTGTACCAATATATGTCTGTCTGTCTAGCTGTCCGTCTGACTGTATGTCTGTCTCATACTTTCGCTCTCTCGTTCTCTCTCTCTCTCTCTCTCTCTCTCTCTCTCTCTCTCTCTTCCTCTCTCTCTCTCTCTCTCTCTCTGTCTCTCTTACAATCTCACTCTTTCCCTCTCTTCGTCGGTCTCTGGGCCTATTTCTTCTGGCGTTTTCTCTCAGATTAAAAAATGCTCGCAATTTTTCCAAAGCGTTTGCGCTCTCGCTCTGTACTCTAAAAGACTTCAGTTCTATCGGCCTACATATATATGCATATAGGTGTGCGTGTGTGGTTGTGTGTATGGAGTTGTGTGGTTTATTTCGGCGTTAATTTTCATTTTCCTTTTACCTTTCTTCCCTTTTTTTCTTTTTTTTGTCTTTTTAAAGAGTTGTTTACACTATAACTTCCCTTTCCTATACGTAATATAAACGCATACACGCGTTGCATGCACGCAACTGTTTGAGTTTGAGTATATTATGCATGTTTTGTTTTTTACACTTGTTGGTTCTTTGCCAGTTTTATGCTCAACTATAAAATGCAGTGTCTACCGTTTGCTATATTCCAGCGGGTGTTGACGCATTCTCAGTCTGTTACACCGTTTGCGATATCCGAGAGCACGCATGCACTGGTATCATCATAAATTTCTTATATATATATATATATATATATATTTATATATATTCTTGATCGGCATGAGGTTCGCAATTAATTCAATTACCGCTGCTGACTTGTGCGTTGCTTTAACTGTTCGTCGCTCTGCCCATCTCTACATAATTCGAATTTTTTAAATCGGAGAAAAGTAATTATTATCTGCCTATAGTTGTATATGCTTAAAATAGCTTGAAAATTGTATATTACTTTCAAAATCGACATGCAATCGATCCATTCCGAGCCGTTCAGTTTGCAGATTAGAGAAACGAGCCTATGAATACGAACCTAATTAATAGGAAAATCTTATCATAATATATGTCCTTTTATCATATTTATCGAAAATCCGGCAGTGAGACCTCTACGCCTTAATTGAAACAAAAGAAAAAATAAATAACCAAAGACAATTTAATATATAACTTTAAGCAATGACGTTTTAGTTAAAACTACTGATTGGGTAACCGGGTCCGATATGATAGGTATTGAAAATTCGTTTTAAAACGAACATTTTCACTTATATCCGCTTGTTAGCACTAAACTTGTGCCGTAGTTGTCTTTGATTTTTCCGTTTTTTGTTTGCTTATATTTCACATTTTAAATATGCCCTCATTTCCTTTTTTATGATATTTCTTTCCCCTGCAATATATATATATATATATATATATATATATATGTATAAATAAATACAAATATATATATTTATATATATATACTTACATATATGAATACATATGCACGTATGTATATGCGGATTCGTTGTGTGTGTGTGTGTGTGTGTGTGTTTCAATTGCATAAAAAGTGTATATTGCCTTTATTTTTGCCTGAGCATTTTATTATGTTGCACACAACTGATACGCGTTTCATAGCTTCCTTACACAATACCACTAAGCCATTGATTCGTTATTTTTTATGACTTTCTATTTGCAAATTTACACAGGCACAGGCACAGGCACAGGCATACGCTTACCATATCCATACCTATGCTATTTATGCATATATTTCTATGTTACGGGAGGATTTGCAACAGGTTCCCATTACTTAAGCTTTTTCCCTTTTTTTCACTCTTTCTTTTTTGTTTTTTGTTTCTTTTTTTTTGCTTTTTTTGTTGTTCCTTTATATTTTATTTATTTGTTAGCTTCGTTCATTCTCTCGCTTTGATATTGTTCTTCTGCAGCTTTTTATTGTCGTCTGTGTTTATTTGAGTGTGTGCTGTTATTTTGTTGTTACATATGTATGCCTGGATGCTGTAGTTTATGTAACTCTGGTTTTTGTTGTTTATTTATTTATTTTTATTTATTTATTTTTTTATTTATTTTTTTTTTTTTGTATCTTTTTCTTTCGTTTTTCATTCAAGTGCTTACATTACGTTTTTCTGCTATTTTTACTCGATATTTGTTTGTCTCTCGTTGCGTTTGTTACTTTTTTCGTTTTGTTTTTCTCGCATCCATCTTTTGTTTACTGCGTCAAGTGTGTTTGTCTGTCTGCTATATTACATTGAGTTGTGTCTGCCTGTATACATATTGTTTTCATGTTTTTTGTGTTTTTCACGTTTTTTTTTTTTTTTCTTTTTTCTTTTACATAACCATAGAAAGAAAATTTACATTTACTTTACATCAAAGGATTTTCTCTTTTATGCAGTTATAAACACACATAGACGTAGCTCTTAACACTGTTTTCTGTAAGACAATAAAAAAAAAAAAAAAAAATTAAAAATTAAAAAAAAAAAAAATAAAAATTTAAAAAAAATTTAAAAAAATTTCTAATCCTTCTCCTATCTTCACTGATGTGACAAATAACAAGAATGAGTAGGTGTATCGAATTTTTCATTTCTTTGGTAACTTACACTTCTATCCATCAATAAATATCGTACTACTAACTACACGTACTAACTCACACTTAGTTATGCAATCTGCTTATGCTTATATAGATGGAAAAGTTAGTTACTCGAAAGCAATTTGATAAAGTCATGAAATATTTATTTAATTGAATCAAGCAGATCACCAAATGGTAGCATCTTCTTCAATATTTGCAACCCGCAGCGAGAGACAATATAAAGGAGCATACAAAGGTTAAGTGCTTTTAAAAAGAAATTCCGTACTGCGAAGGTCTCTAATTTCTGCACGTTACCCCAACACCTAAGTAATTAAAACAAGACTTTTCATATAAGTATTTGATTCTAGTACAATATCGTATGTAAGCAAAATATTTCAGAACACTATAACTGGCGAGATAGCGAGCGATAAAATCAACTAAATAAATTATATATAATATCATAATCCGCTTAACACGGTTTGATTTACTACCCAGCGACATGAATACATTTTTCGCTTTACACATAACTCTCTATCCCGATAAGTATATAAAACATGAAAACAGTTATATATAATATGAGACAGCTCTCTAGTTTGCCTATGAATAAGCATAACATTATTTGTACGGGATGTCTGAAGTTGTGTTCCTTATGGCTTCGATATCTGGCAATTGTATGTATTCGCAATAACAGCACATAAAGAAACTCAAAAATGCCTTTCCTAACAAGGTATATCGCGAGCTTTGTGTCGCATAACGAGCATTCACCGAAAGCAGTTTTCTTTGCTCGGAAGATACAGCCAATCCTGACTAGAGAAGAGAAATGAATCTTCTTTCTGAATCTCATAGGAGAATTTATCCATAGATACCATTCGCATCGACTGCGAAAGTGGATTGCTTCGACAGGAAAGCGTAAAAGCTTTCTGCGTTTAATGAGACCTAAAACCTGTGGTTTGCTATTAGCCGTTCAAGTGTGATGCAGCGGTTCATACCAAACGCTACCAACAATAACGAATCGATGACAATTTTTCGCTGTTTAAAAAACGAATGAAGTAACGAAAAAGGAACCACAGAACACGGCAACGCCGATGCCCTATTACGTTGGAAGCACTCATTTAGGAATTCGTGGTCCATGCGGCTTACTGAGTCCATCAAAAATTTTGGGAGATAGTCAGACAAGCGGACGTAGTTAGATCGATTCGGCTATGTAGACCGATCCAGAATGTATGCTCTTTAGCGGACCCCTAAGGGCTTCTTCTATACGTACTAGCCGATCTAATCATAAAAAGAATTCTGATATGCAGACTATAATAGGAGAGATAATGGATGTTAATAATAACTCGATAGTCATTTTCGAATATCGAAACTCACTTCTTATTGCCAACAATTTTCAATTTTATATATCGCTTCCATAGTCTTTCTATTGCGAGCTTTTAGAAAAATGTGATTTCCGATAGATAAATTGAAACTAGACATAGAAAAATGCATACGAGAAGAAGCGCATAAGAAGAGATCGTGAACAGGATGAATGCATAAGCGAGTCTTCCATAAAAGATACCTCAGTTAACTGGACCAAGTATGCAGTTAAAAGAGTTTAATTTCGAAAAGAATCTTTCAAATTAACGAATACTTTAGAGAATTTCGGAGACTGTTTGAAACGCTCTCATTATTTTTCGGATGATAAAGTTTTGTGTAGAAAAAACTCTTTCTTTTTTTTTTTTTTTATTAATAAGTATTTTCACTATCTCGAATAAAAAAAAAATCACCGGAATCTATACGTTTGACAGCTCAAGACATAATTACTTTTTTAAAACCATTGTCCAGGTCATTACTTTACGTTTACAATTTTTCATTATTCATTTTCATTAAATTAGGTTAGGTAGGGAGCAGAAATAGCTCGGTATTCTTGAGTTAAGGTAGATAGACATGATGAGAGAACTTCCAAGATAACTTGATGTCATTATGTCAGTACGGATGTATCTTAATCAACATGGCTGGCTACTCTTCTTCTGAGATCTGCTTAAGGGGCACCTGTCATGCTATCAGAGGCCAGTTTGTTTTGTAGTATGAGGACAATAGCATAAGTTTTGATTAAGCGAAGCTTGCCTAGAATTAAAAATCAACTGAATTTGACTCGTTATTAGCATGGAGATCGTAAGCTTATCAGCAATCAGAGGCCGCTATTTCAAACTAAAATATTAAGTAAAAGTTGTTTAGGATAATTGCTGTGAAGTATGTAAGTGAGATTCATTTTTAAAGAGCATATCGCGTTCGCCTTGATCTCCCTCCCTATAGTAAGCTACATGTTATTCTTTTCTATTTGTCGACTTGTTTATTTTTAGTTTTATTTGATTTCTATTTTCCCTTCAGAGCTTCGCTTTATATTTATTTATTTATTTTTTTTTTTTTTGTCCTTCGCCTTCTCTCCCTTAACTTTTTTTTATTTTTATTTATTTATTTATTATTATTATTACTTTTTTTCTTTTTTTTTTTTTTTCTGTCTTTATATCCTAACTCAGATTAGTCTTTCATATAAAATGAGATTTGTTGCATGTAATTTTATCTGGTCATAAAATTTCTTTACATTGGTGTACATTTATTTTGCTACATTTCTAAGGATTTGTTGTTCCAGATTTGTTGTATGTTGTATTTCCTCTTCTTTTTTTCCTTTTCATGAAGAGTAGTGGCGCATAAGGCATTCACAAAGAGCCAGATTGCATTTATGCCGTAATTAGTATCTTTTTTAGTTTTTTCGTCGTCACATTTGAATAGCAGTACACCAACTACCGAAATAATTCAAGCTTGATTTTTGAGTAGTCCGAAGGAGTTAAGTTTAGATTTTTCTAATTTTTACTTTCGCGCGCCCGTAGGCGTACGACAATTATAATTTTCAGTTTTTTTTCCTTTTCCCAAGAAGGGGGTAATCGGTCGTATGCGAATATCTCAGAAATGTCTAAAAGCACGCCTTGATTCTCCTCGGTTTATCTATAGTTTTCTTTTTCAAACCGAATGAAAAAAATTTCAATTTTCTCTGTTTTGCGGCAAAGCCGGCAAACAATAGCTTGGCTACCTTCCCCGAGAATTTTACAAGCTAGGCGTAATGAATTCAACTTAAAATGGTGAGAAGTGGCATAAACGCTTATATTATATTTACACTTTAGTTTCAATAGAATTTTTTAAATTAATTTATTATCAGCCGAGCAGTAATTAGTAAAATTATTCATCTGCACCTCATTAAGATTTTGCTGTCAAATGGAATGATACTATTCATGCAAACCGTTATTATCTTTATTCCTCAGCTATTATCCAATTACCGTGACTAGACTAGACTAGTTATCCTAGCTATTTAAAAAGTTTTTCATTAACTAAGAGTAAGAAACTTTTGAAGGCTGCCCGATTACCTCGATCATATGGTCGCCTGTATTGAAAACTTTACCGAACGCGATCATTGAGTTGTTAGTCGGCTACACAGTCCGCCAATTTAGGGACCAATTAGGGATGGACATGCTTGAATCGGTTTAAAAAAATCTTTCTTAATTGATTGGTTCAATAAAAATGGGGTTTACCCCGAGTACTTCCGAGTGTTGTATACCTACCTACAAATTCAATATATCAAAATTGTCAGAGGTGTGTAACCGACAGAAGTTTACATATAAGTAACGAAAACTTTTCAGGGTATTGAAGCGTTCAGGATCGTTCGAATAACAATAGCAAATTTGACAATATATTATCACCTCAGCGAAACATCAGGTCATTATAGAATCAGTAATCTCAAGTTACTTTTGGTTCTAGATTAAAGAGCTCTTTTTCTTTTCTTTTTTTTTTAGTTCCTTACCATCCTCGCGTTGCATTTTCATTTTGTATATTGCGGCTGTTGCCCAGCAATATTTCTTCCTGCCACATTTTAGATTGACACAGTAACCATAGCGAAGTCGCTCTGGGCGTATTGTTGTTATGCTTGCTTGCTCTTGCTGCTATGTATTACCTCGCCACAGTTACCTGCCACTTTCGTGTGTTGTTAATGCTACGGGTAATGTTGTTCATGGTGGTCATGATGGTGTTGATGATGATAGCGTTGCAGTTGCATTGTTTTATTGCTGTTATTTTGGATTCTGCTACCATAACTTTAAACCTTCATATGCACTTTAAATATTACCACAACTATGGCATCGTCGAAGTTAACAGAATCTAAAAACAAGCAACAACTTAACAAAAAAAAAAAAAAAAATAAAAAAATAAAAAAAAATTATTTTTATTTTTTTTATTGGCTTCCCCTTATTTTTCCCCATCACACCGGTTTTCTTCACCACCATCCATTTTAATAAGTATTATTGTGGATATTATGAGGAAAAAAAATTTCATAAACTTCAGGAGAAACTGTGGGAAACTGCTATGCGATTATTATACATTTTGAAGCGTCGATAATGGTTATCATCACATCATCATTAACTGTCATAACATTTGCTTCGGGATAAAGGAGATGTATACACCTATCGGTTTCTCGTCTTAAACACTCGCGTTGACATATAATTTTATGATCCAAACTGAACAAAAAGTAAGTTGAAAAGTATAGATGAGCATTAATAATTCAAAAAAAAAAAAAAACATCTTCTTTCGCTTCGTATGAATAAGAGAATCTTATTTGAAACGCGAATTATTTGCTTCTTATACCCATCACCGAAGTAGAACTAAATTTTCGGTTCGAACATTGAATAAGTTCTCGCTCTGCTTTCATAACTAGTACGATAAGGTTATAAATAAAATTCTGATTTTGCTGCCTGAAGTGAAGTGTATAGAACGCAGCTGTGTAAAGCAAAAACAAAATCTTTAGCGGAAATACCGCTATTGTTGCTTAATTCGAAGGATA